TCTGGCTGGTGAGTCTTGCCCACATGCTCAGGGTTTAGCTGATCGCCATATTTGGGGTCAGGAAGGAATTTTCCTCCAGGGCAGATTGGCAGAGGCCCTGGAGGTTTTTCATCTTCCTCTGCAGCATGGGGCACGGGTCACTTGCTGGAGGATTCTCTGAACCTTGAAGTCTTTAAACCATGATTTGAGGACTTCAGTAGCTCAGACATAGGTTAGGGGTTTGTTACAGGAGTGGGTGGGTGAGATTCTGTGGCCTGCGTTGTGCAGGAGGTCAGACTAGACGATCATAATGGTCCCTTCTGACCTTAAAGTCTATGACTCTATGGAGGGGATTGGGGTCTATAATGCACAGTTGCCATGTGAGAGAGACTTGCATCTCCATACCCCCTCCAACGGAACCAGCCTAATTGACCAGGTAAACTAGAGGTGGGCAAACTTTTTGACCTGAGGGCCACATCGGGTTTCCGAAATTGTATGGAAGGCTGGTTAGGGGAGGCTGTGCCTCCCCAAACAGCCAGGCATGGCCCAGCCCCGCCCCCATCCGACCCCCTCCCGCTTCTCGCCCCCTGATGGCCCCCCAGGGACTCCTGCCCCATCCAACCCGCCCTGTCTCCTGACTGTCCCCGGCCGCCCCATCCAACCCCTCCTCTCATTCCTGACTGCCCCCCCCCCGGGACGCCTGCTCCCATTCAACCCCCCTGTTCCCCGCCCTCTGACCGCCACAACCCCTATCCACATCCCCACCCCCTGATCACCACCCCAAACTCCCCTGCCCTCTATCCAACCTCCCCACTCCCTGACATACTGCCTGGAGCACCAGGACAGGTAGCCGTGCCGCCCGACTGGAGCCAGCCACGCCCCCGCGCAACACAGGGCACCGGGTCAGGCCCCGGCTCTGCAGCTGTGCTGCTGTCAAGAGCTCACAGCCCCGCCCCCTAGAGCATTGCGCCGGTGGCACAGTGAGCTGAGGCTTAGGGGGAGAGGGAACAGCAGGGGAGGGGCCATGGGCCAGCCTCCCAGGCCAGGAGCTCAGGGGCTGGGCAGGAGGGTCCTCTGGGCCGGGTGTAGACCGTGGGCCGTAGTTTGCCCACCTCTGTGCTAAACCATCCCCACCCCGCCAGCTTTCAAAGGGGGAGAAGCCATGTATTGTCCTGTCTGTGTTGTTTCTCATTCGCACACAGAATCCCCGGTCACCTCCCTCCTTGGGACTAGGTCCAGCCATGGGGAGTGCTTGGGGCTCTGCCGGTTTAGAAATAGGCAGGGGTTTAACATTAGAGCTGGGTGTGCGTCAGCAAGGCCCCCAGAGCGCACAGATCCTGGGAACTCCTAGTGAGGGCGTTGCAATTCTCCCCAGATGTCTGCCTCTCCCAAGGGGGCTCTGTGACCATGTTTCCATCCTCTTGGATTGCACGATCGCCCAGCACAGCCACAGGTTCGGCTCACAGAATGCCCTCAATCCTCCATGCACCCTGATCTGGTCTGATTTCATCCCCTGCACAGGATTTCCCCTTCCCAAACCTGAACTGATCGCCCAGCTGGAACGAGGGGAAGAGCCGTGGGTGCCTGATCTCCAGGCCTGCAAGGAAACAGAGATCCCAAGAGGCGCCCGCACAGGTGAGGCCTGACACAGAAACCATCTGGTGAAGGAAGGAAGAAGTAGAGAATCCCAAAAATGTGGTGTGAGCAAGTGCCCTCAGTTCTTCCTTATCTCAGCCAGGGCAGGGCTGTAGTCAGCAGATATCATTCACGGCTTTCCATCCTTCCTGTTAGCTGCAGGAGTTTCCTTCCCAACTTTTCTTCCCTGTGAATGTTTGGGTGGGATGTGGAGGCAGAATCCAATTGTTCAGTCTTCACAGCGTTAGCATGTTGGGTTTTCCCTCTGTGCTATTCCTCTTTCTCCCCAGCACAATGACTCCTGTCTGGATTGTGTCTCTCCCAGCAGGTGCTGAGCGAGGGAGTGAGAACGAGGAGGGGAATCATCATGAGGAAGTGGAACCACAGGGGACCTTTGTGGGAAGAGCTGAAGGGAATTTTTCCCAGTGCTTGGAAGAGGGAGAAGCCTGGGGAAATTGGCACAGG